CCTACCCGAAAAAAAGATTTTTTTAATATATTTTTAAGTTTTAGTTTTTTTATTTATCGGTTTAAAGGTTCAAATTTTACAAGTTCCAACGTTATGAGTTCGAAGGTTTATGTATTTGGAAGTTTACGAGTTTAGAAGTTATAAAGTTTACGGGTTCGAAATTCCGCGGTTTCGAAAGTTTAGCGATTCGAAAATTTATGAAAAATGTGGGTTCGGAAGGTTGTAGGTTTGAAAGTTTATGGCTTCATGTTTATTATATCTAAATTACTTATGAATACTCTTGAGAAGTCATTTTCCTTAATTTGCGTATCAAACACCGGAAAATGAATAAGATTACTACTTATTTTAAAAGAAAATATTTTCAACATTTTCCACGGAAAACATTTTCCGTTATACCAAACACACCCTAAGTCTCCAACTTATTCCATACAAAAGAGAATAAAAGTATTTATTTTGGTGGAGCTTTGGACTCAACAACTTGTACACAATTTGTTCGAGTCATACAACATTATCGGGATGTTGTATCCTTGAAGGGACAAGTCAAGAGTATTGTAAATGCCCATTTTTTGTCATATTTTTCTTATTTTTATTTGATGTTATTTGGATTTAATTAGTCTAGTTTTATTTAGGGGGTTAAGGGGGGGTTGATGTTGTCATTTTAAGGCAAAAAATGGACCAAAATCAGTGGCCCAAAGCTCTAGATCCGCCCAGCTTTCAGGCCCCAACTGGACGCGTCAAAACGACGTCGTTTTGGTTAAGTGGATGAGATTCATCTTGGCTTGATCCAACGATCACCATTTAATCTCCATTTTTGGTATTTAAACCCTAAGGTGACCGGAAATGGCCCCCATATTTTCCCCTTATCTCTTTCTTCTTCCTCTCTCTTCTCACTCTCTCCGCTCTTCTTAGAGACCAGCCGTCCACTGCCCATCTCCGCCGGCCGGAAATTGCCGCCGCCGGCAGACGTCGTCTAAAGCCCATAAAACCTAGACCAGTCTCTTCCTCTCACTCCCCTCTTTCCAAATCCATGAACCAAATCCTCCAAATATTCACCAATCTACATAAATTCGTAAAAAGAACCTAGCTTCTTTTGTCCCCAAATTGATGAAGTTCCACGCCCCATTTTCAGATAATACTTGCATAAACATGTATGTCTTGCTTTGTTCTATCTCTCTGTATTAGTTTCTATCCCAAATCCGACGACCAAAATACGGCCGAATTCCGGCGGCCACTCCACTATCCCGCCACTACTGCCTTACCACTGCCTCATTCTTTAAGCCTATTCGATCGGAAGACTCACGTTTCCTTCTAGTATGACGCTAGAACATATTTGTTTCGGTGTCTACTAAAAGGAAGCTTGCGTTTCGGGGTCGGACATTCATTGGTTGATATCCTCGGCATCTTTTAGTTGTGCGATTTGGCCTTGAATGTCCCTGACTGTTGGTAATAGCTCTTTCCCTTTTTTTCCTGATTTCATTCTTGTAATTAGCATTAGCATTAGCTTTAAAGTTTAATTTTCATTCACATTTATGTTGTTCCTATAAATTTAAGTAATAATCAGTTGGTTACTATTATTTTCATGTCATTGTACGTTGCTTCGAATCATCCCTTTCCTTGCTCGTCGTGATTAGTTTAGATGTATCGGTTAGGCGACTAAGATCAATTGAGCTACTTTTTGACTCATTAATCTTTTAGTTAGTTACATTGATTTGATTCGTAGTCAATATTTCTTTGTTGTTTCTCTAGTTTTATTTTTGTTTTTATTAGTTTAGTTTTTTTGATTAATAATTAGTGGTCGATTTTAGTTTGTTTTCTATCTAGTTTTCAGTTTCGTCTTCGCTTAAATCAAACATTTTCACTAAGTTATTTTCTCTGTTAACATGTGTCTTGCTTGGTTTGATTTTAGTCATTAAGTTTTAAGTTTTCTTGATTATAGTTCAGTGTTAAGTTTTAGTTACTTTTTTGTGGTAGTTTAACTAAGTTCTAGTTACTTGTTTCTCGTTTTGGTTTGGTGCAAACTAGTCTGGTATTAATTTGCTTAAAGTTGAAGTTAGCTAAGATTGATCATGATTTAGGGTACAAAGTTGTTTACTTTAACATCTAGGGTGGCTAAGAGTACCATTTTCCTCCATGCTTCTGCCATGCCACAGTTGTTCAAGGACTGTCCTTTTCCCTTTTTGGACCGTCCTTGAACAAACTTTTAGCACACAAAAGTGAGTCTTTTGAACAGTTTTGTTTGGTGAACAAAAATCAGTCCTTTTGAACAAACTTTTGGTAAACTAAAAGCTGTCCAAAAGTGATTTTCTTTGCTTACTTAAGGGTTGTTCCTTTCAGATTTTAAGAACACTTAAAAAGACATCTTCCACTCTAAAAAGACACATCATTTACACTCTAAGAAAGAATACAACTAAAAAAAAAAGGGAAGAAGTTTTCTGTCTAGCTTAAACGCTTGCATTTCAGTTTGAAATATTAGTTCTTGGGATTTTGTTTTTGCTGTTTTCCATTGGATTTCTCTGAGTTTTGCTGGGTTTGTTCACTGCTGCTGTGGTTTACTTGTTGTTGTCCGTTCTCGAATTTCCGCAAGCTAGCTTTGAGTCAAAGTTGAACTTCAATAGCGTGTCGTCTCACATTCTGCACCTTAGGTACCCTTTGGAACTCTATCTATGTAGCTTTTACGTAAGTGAATGATAAGAAGATATCTTGAGTTTATTCTGATTATTTAGAATGTCTTTAATGTTAGTTTGGTTCCTTTCTTTTGTGAAAGTCATGTCCATGTTTAGATCTCCAGTCAACTAGTTTAAACTTGAAACGTAATATCAGTTATAAAAATATTTCTTTGTATAGACTATTTTGAATAGTTAAAGCTCAATTTTCTTGAGGCACGGGCATGGCTAAATTAATGAGCAGTCAAAAATAAAATAAAATAATTTACCTGTTTAAAGCTTTTTCTTTCTTTTTGGTTCTTATTCTTGTCATTGTTATGTTGATGCCTATTTCTGGATACTACATTGACATATGAGCTTACCATGGTTAAATTCTAGAAAAATTGATAGAATATATATATATTTTTTCATATGGTTAGTCCAAATAAAATGCACCAGTAGTTGCTTTGTTTGTTAGTTTCAAAACAGGATTAACATTTGCAACCTATAATTAGTTTTTCCCTTTTTTTAAGCTTGCAGTAATATGAACATGTGTAGAGATGAGTTTGCCTATTATTAGATTTTTGTTAATTTTTACGGTTAGGTAAAAATGTGAAATGTTGTTGGGATATAATTGCTATGGTTGGGTTAAGAAATAAGATCGGAACTTGGCGCAACTAGGTCATTGGGCCATGTGGTCAAGAAGTGGGGCGAACGGCACAAATAGCCACTAAAAGCTGTGGCTTGTATTTTAAAGCCACTGTTTTCAATGTATTTAGACTTTAGTCACTTCTTTTAAAATATTTATACCTGATTGGACGAAAATACCCTTCTGGTATAACTTATACCTACACTATCAACACAAGCAGCAGTTACACAAAGAGAAGAAGCGAGCAACAGCAGCAGTTACCACAGCGGCGATCAACTGAGGACGAACCACATTTATCTTCCCGATTTCAAAAATTCAGCAATCTAATCCAAAAAAATGACATAGATAAACAGTAAGTTGTAATTTCATGTGTTTCTATCAATTTTTATTTCGCTATAGTTATACTTTTTTAGATCTGTATTGATTTGATTATATATTAGATAAGAATTTGATTTTTTTTGAATTTCTGGATTGATAAATTTATAGACATCGCCTCCTATGATAATTCTGTATTCCGGACATAGTGTCTTCATTTTGGAAATTGAATTCAAAAAAATAAGAACACTATGTCCTTAACTTTGATTCTACTGGCCTCATTTTGCAAATTGAATAAAAAAACTTAAGGACAAAATGTCCTTCACTTTGTTGTTGTTCTTCTGTATACAAAGTCCTGTAGCTTGAGTTTCAAATTGTATGTTTTAATTTCTGGTTCAAATGTTAA